CAAGGTCCCTTATGTGTTTTGTGCATTTCATTTGATATTGAATTGCACGTTTGACTTTTTTGGGCCATCATGCATTGAAATGTATGATTGATGGCCCGAGGGTCGAGAACCATGCTCCTCTAAGTCTCAAACATGCTGAGGAGGGTGGTGGTGCATAAATTGCTTTGAAAATACATCGCCATGTTCTGTCTATCCTCTGTTGCAGCAAACCAGTGTTCTGCAAGAGGAAATGGCCGGTCGGCAACTTTCAGTGCCGGCTGACTACCCAAATAGTGCCAGTGATCCCATTTTTGGTCGATGACCATAACTCTATGGCCGGTGTTGTTTTATCTTGGTCGGTGACATCCCACTGTGCTCAGAGAGTGATTTTGAAGCTTCCTTGGGACTTGTGAAGTTTTCAGAAGTACAGATCAGTGTAAATAGAGGCAACATGAGTATGGCGATGGATTTCTGAGTAGAGCAGAGCATGCACGCATTTATCCCTCTTCCCGAGGCTACTTTACCGCTTTACTAGTTTAGTTAATTTGTTAAATTAGTTAAGTGGCTTTGTAATAATTAATTAGCTAGAATAGTTAATTATTTATTTGGTTTGTATTATTCTTTCGGACCCTCCGTCGAGAGGGCGCAATTGTGTAATAAGTGTGCGTGCGTGTGTGAATGTCTTCCAACCCCACGTCTTTCTCCCTTTTATTTACTAGCTTTTGATAGTTAGTTTAGGGCATGTTTCAATTAGCATACTTATGCTCGCATGTTTGCATCATTCATCTGTATTGCATGCACCGTGCTTGGCGCATCATACTAACTGCATGGTATTTCAATTCCAACTTGAATGCATGTATCGAGTTATTGCATTTCACATGCCATCCTTAGATTAGCCGAGCCTATTCTAGTTGCATTATGCCTGTGATGCATTAGCCATCTTAACATGGACTTGGATCATACATTTGATTACTAACATATTCCTTGTTTTGGCTCGGAGTACACTGTGAGTATTTATGCTTTAGCATCTTGCATGTATGTGAGTGTTAACACGACAGCATGTTTACCATGAGGCTATTTGCTTATGTGATATAACTGCTTGAATGCCTGTGGGTGATGGTTGGGTTGCTTGAATTGGGATAATTCATTGAAATCCGTGTTTTAGCCTACTTGCAAGTAGCAAACTTCAAACCATTTCCAAACAAACGGATATGCGATGCTTTGTTCCAAATTAGGCGATCTAGTCTATACTTGTGTGTTGTGTGCATCATATAGTAAATTCTAGCTAATTAACCGGAATAAGAACACATATGTTTTCAAAACTCGATATCATGCTTAGTACAAGCCGATCTTCGGATCGGGCGAGCGGGGGTGCTCATGGCTGACCTTCCCCAATCGTACCCAAGTTCCCGAGCCGAGGCAACTTTGGTGATGATGGACACGTGGCCTTAGGCACGAGTCAGGGTTTCCTAAATTCCCTTAAAACAAAATATTTAGGTGGTGACTCTGTATCTGGCAAAGCAGTCCATGTTTGGCACTTCTTTCTTAAAAATCAGTTTTCCAAAACGATTTGCCGGATTTGGACTCTTTGGTGATTTATCAATCTCACATTGCACATTGTGGGATCAGATTAAGAACCGTGACAAATTGAGTCCGAACTGTGGAAAAGCATAAGCCCACGAGGGCGCGTCCACAGTTTCCCTATATTTTCTGCAAATACACTGCTGACCAAGCATTGATGACCGGATGGCCCTCAATGAAGCTTGACCGAGCCTAGAGAAAGCCGATCATGCCTCAATTTCATGCAAAATTCTCTTTGGTGCTCTGAAGTAAAAACAGTGCAGACAGAATTGTTATAGACTCTGTTTGCCCCTCTCACACTTCTCTGTCATGGGAAAGCCTCGAGAGAAGGTTGGAATCGTTTCCAAAACCATCAATGAGCAAGTTGATTGCTTAATGATTTCGGGTACAATCGGGACAAAAATTAATAAATTAAAGGAACTATAACCACCCCTCTCTCCTATCATGGATTGAACTCAAAGAGAGAGGTAGAGACGCTTCATGATTTATCAAAACATCATGAATTGATGTAAGACAATCCTTGACACAATGGACTCAGCATAACGTCCGATCGAACCCCAAGCAATATAACTCATTTTCTTTATGTGGGTTGGTTCATTTTAGTAATTTTTAGACCTTTCCATTCTTTAGTCTATTAAGTCCAAGGTGATGATTAAGTTCGCTAAATGAGAGGAACGTCAAGCGAGAGGTGCTCCTAAATATGGAGAGACCATGCCTTTAACAATGAACCTCCGTAGAGATTAAGCCATTGAGCATAGGTCTCTAGCTCATATTTCGAATAACCATCAACCGGTTGAAATAACTCTCAAACTAGAAGAAAAAAAGAAAGGGGGGAGATTGCATACATGATTGCGAAGTTGATTATTAAAATGAAACTCTTCGCATGAAAACTAAGTAAATAAAGCTATCAACTCAAATGACTTGGTGTCTAAGGCCTAAACAACCGAAGCTATGAGGACTTACAACACAACAAGCATGATATTCAAAGCATAAATTATTTAAATGAATTAAACAACCCATAACAGCCTCTAAAATGTACAAAAATAGTAGCTAAAAGCAAGAGAAAGTAAGTAAAAAGAGTAAAGAAAAAGCTATAGAACAAAGCCTAAGGTGGGGTGGCTAACCCCTTCACTTTTTGTAATTTTAAATCACATGTTTCAGCCCCAAAGCTAAATCACATGTTTCAGCCCCAAAGCAGTCCAAGAATAGTCCCAAAACAACCCAAAAATAGTGGCTAAGAGTGTGTTTAAAGAGCACAAAAAGATAGACAAAAGCAAGAGATATAAAGCTAGTAAGAAAAATCAAGGAGAGATGGCTAACCACTCTACTTTTGAGACTTTTAAACCATGTTTTCTAGCGTTTTTAAGCTCTGAAAATTAGTATGAGAACCAAAGAAAAGAGTGCAAAAACAAAGGGTATGAACTATGGGATAAGGTGCAAGAAAGGGTGTCAAGCCTCTCTACCTTTGGTAGCTCTTCAACCCCAAGTTCCAACACTTGAAATAGGTCCAAAACAGTAAGAAAACACAAGAAAAAGATAGAAAAAGATTGAAATAAAAGCAAGGAAAAATGTGACAAGCTTATACCTCTTTAAAGAGGGCAAGCTTTGGTTGTTGATCAAACTTGATTCCAAACACCCTCAAGTTTATGAAGTATGGTTTGAAACTCTAGAAAAAAGCTTCAAGAACAAGCTCTAATGGTGTATATATTGTGTATGTATAGCTAAAGAAGGTTTGAGGGTCAAAGGAGGAAGGAAGATGGAAGGGGGTCTATTTAGCTCTTCAAAGCCTTTGGAAATTTTGCTAACCTTGAATTCTAAAGGAAGAGGCCCTATTTATAGAATTTAAGCCAAAATGGTCAAAAATATCTTCAAACAAAGATATTTGTCCAATTCCCGCCAGCTGTCTATCTGGCGCCATTGAGACCTGGTCGGGCCTCAAAACCCACGGTCGGGACCAGAAATGCACGGCTGGGCCTAAAAAGCAAGTCGGGAAAAGTTTTCATTAAGTCCTGGCCGGGCCTCAATGAGGCACGCCCGGTTCTAAATGGACCCGGCTGGGTCTAAAAATCTATATTTCAAGCCCAACTTCAAATGGGCATATCTCCCTTATCCGGACTCGATTTTAGATGATTACTGAGTCTAAATTGAAGCCCCAGAAGTCTACTTTCCAATGGAGGTGGCTTCATATCTAAATTATAAGTGTGAAAAGTGATATGCTTATTTTAGGGAAGGCTTCTTAGTTTTGTCCTAATGGATTGATGCCTAACCTTTCCCCCAACTAGTTTTCTTCCCTCCCCCCCCCCTATTTTCTTCAACTCCAAACCTATAAATAAGTTGTTTTAAGTATTTTTCAAAGAGTTCACCTTCCTTCCATGTATTTCCACTTTGTCCTTACTCGGTTTACCGAAAGTGCAATGTTTTAAACGAAATGCGATCCTCGGAACATCATAAAAGCCTTTGAAAAAATATTTTAAAAAAGGGAGTTTTAAGGTCTAAAATAGTTTGGCCAAAATAGGGTGCAAGGTTTTGGATTAGAGCTTGAATCCAAATTTCTTCGTTGAAAATTCAAAAGATTGCATAGCGTAACTTTCATCATCGGATGTTCGGAATAAAGCGCTCAAGTCTTAAGGGCAGTCAAAAATGGGGTGTCTACATAGCCCATACCAAGGCTAAGCAAGCTTTCTCCAGGGGAGTGTAGCAGGTCTCATAGTCTAACATCTTCTTACTCAAATAGTAAATGGCCTTCTCCACCTTATCTTTAGATTCTTAAGCTAGCATGCACCCCATGGTCGAATCCGTTACCGACAAATACAAAATCAAAGGCTTTCTCAGCTCTGGCGGTGACAACACAGGCTGTTTCTGAAGGTACTGCTTGACCTTCTTAAAGGCAAACTGACATTGATCATCCTATCAAAACTTTTTCCTTTTCTTCAAGAGACCAAATAGTCACTATAAGAAATAACACTTTTAGCGACCAACTTTTTGGTCGCAGAAAGTTGTTATCTGGTCATTAATAGTTTTTAGAGACCAAAAAAAGTTAGTCGCCATTTATTCGCCAAAAGCCCGTCACAGAAGATTTTTGGCAACCAGAATTGAAGTTGGTCGCTAAAAGTTACCATCAGCGACCATATATTTTGGTCACAAAATGGATTTAAATTTGTTAAAAATTGATCATTTGCGACAAAAAAACTGGTCACAAAAATGGAGGATTTTGGCGACCACAGTAGTGGTCACCAATAGTTATTCCTAGAACCTTTCTCAAGGACCTACTGCGGCTAAAATGTTCTTGGCCGCAAAAAAGCTTTTAATTTCAAAAAATAAATTTTTAAATATAATGCTAATTTTTTTGAATACCTATAATACATTTGCAATTAATAACATAATTCATGTCCATCCAATCAATTTCAACATCTCAATCCATCAACAATCCAATCTAAAAACAAAAAATCATCAATTATAAAGTCAAAATAGTAGTTAATCTATCTAATTACTACCATCTGTCAATATGAACTCATTACAAGTCCAAAATAATTATCCATCTTTTTAGTTTACAACGAATTCACCACATCAAAAACATATTTAACAAAGCCCTCAAAGATTTCAAATGCATGTCATATTTGACTGATGCAAAGTATATCAAAAACTCCACGTATAAGCACAACTTAGAATTAATGCACCGGAAAACTCAGGTCCATATGACTACGCCTCTAGCTACCTGAAATAAAAATAAAAAATAAAAATAAAAATGAAGAAAGCGATGTTAATAATAATATTTTTGCTTACATTTCTATTTTAATTTTGTAAAAATCTATGGATCTAAGTCCACTCCCAAAACTAGCAATCACACACAGTCTTATTGCCCAATTCAAAAAAATAAAAAAATAAAAAAATAAAATGAAGAAGAAAAAGAAGAAGAAAAAACAAATAAAGAAAAAAAACACAAACCAAAGAAAATAGGGATTTAATCTAACTAGAGAATGCTTCATTGATGGAAAATATTAATCAAACTTGAAATGTCATCCCTGCAAGAATGAATAAACAGATGGAAAATGTTAAAACTCACCCTTTCTGTGTATCATTAATCACAATGCACAAGTAGTGCACATACTGACCTCAAGAAAAAGACTATTGAATTCTGGGGGCAAATCATAAACATATATAAGGGGCCTTTTCTTTTCCACCATAGCATTGAGATTGACAAGATTCCCAACATGTTGTGGACTGTTAGGTACATCAACCTGAGCTGGTTGAAGCATTAAGGCCAATCCCTTATAACTGATAAAATAGATGGTATGCTGCAATCTAATGCATACCAGCCATTGTCACACTATAGAAAGAAGAAAAAAATCAAATAATTTTAGACACAAATTTGGAACAAATTTGGAGCAAATTTGACAAGTTTTAATCTAATTATGCAAGGTATTGGAAGGTTCTTAGGGAAGCAACTAAATAGGATGAACCCAAATAAACAAAAGCCAACCTTGATTAACATCAATGTATACAGGGCTTTGCCTGCCATTCTTGTCCGCAGACAAGTCATTAATTTATGTTTCTCATGGTATAGATTTAGAAGCGAATTGTTTATCGAAACAATAACCATTTGGTCAAAGAGAATTCAACTAAATCATTACACACCAAGCTACCTCAAACTACAAAGTTTAATAAACAGAAATTTAGTAATACCACAGTATTCAAACAGGAACCTTTCTAACAGTTCTATCACAATATTAGTCATGCACAAAATTCTGTAAATAGAAAAATGTCATTTAATACAAGCTCTTGATTGTTATCCATTAGCATACACGAATGACAACCTAAAATCTAGGAGTGAAAGAGACAATAATATAACTTGACAACAAACAAAATACTTTTAAAGAAAACTGCAATCTTTTGAGCCTAGTAAAGCAAGAGGCTGCAATGCATACATGATAACAGTTACAGAGAGAGTACTACATTGTTATTATCCATAAGCTCCAGATAATTGAATATACAAAACCAAGGCATTGCCATATCTTAACCTACGAGCTTATGATGCGAAGGGTGTGAATCACACAGGTGGCAATATAATCTAAGGCCTTGACAAATCCAAGATGAGTCTTTGATTGTAGTAAGCTCTGCATAAAAGATATCAGAAACAGTTTAAACTAACATAAAAGTGGAATGATAAATAAACAAAAGAAATAAGAAAGGAAATGACAAACTTACAGACACCAAAGAATGATAACATTTAAGAGTGTGGTTTTAACTGAATTGAAAAACCATGAGTTATGCCAGAACAAATTTCTGTTTAAATATCTGTCCAAGCTTAGCATCTACATTGTGCTGAGGAAGCCTTCTAATTAGTTGGTGAATATGCAAATTTGTTTAAATCCACACCAACATTTGACCTTCAACAAACCAAGCCAAACCAAACCAAGCCTTAAGTCCCATCAAATGGGGTCGGCTATATGAATCCTTCTTCTCCATGCGGCCCTATCAAAGGCCATTTCATTAGTCAAATTAAGTAGATTCATATCTCTATTTATAACACTAGTCAACGTTAATCTAGGCCTACCCCGTCCCCTAACACTTCCATCTACCGTTACAGCATCGCATCTCTTCACTACTGCCTCTGTTGGTCTCCGTTGAATATGACCAAACCATCTCAAACGATTCTCTCTCAACTTATCTTCTATCGGTGCTACTCTTACCCATTCCCGAATACACTCATTCCTAATCTTGTCCTGTCCAGTCTTACCACACATCCACCTTAGCATCCTCATCTCAGCCACACTCATCTTATCTACATGTTGTTTCTTGGTTGCCCAACACTCCGTCCCATACAACATAGCTGGTCTAATAGCCATTCTATAAAACTTACCTTTTAGTCTAGTGGGTATTCGTTTATCGCACAATATCCCAGACGCACTTCTCCACTTACACCATCCCGCCTTAATCCTATGGGCCACATCTGCATCAATCTCTCCCGCTGTTGTGATAATCGACCCTAAATAATGAAAATGTTCACTCTTAGGCAGTTCTTGGTTCTCAATTTTCACTTCTCCTCTGCTTGGGACCGGCGGAGTTGTTAACAACCTCGGCATACAAATTACTAAGATGCTTATAAAAGGATTTGTTTAGGGGCAATAAACTTTAGCATCAAGGTCAAGCAACATTACCTACTAGTACATGTGTTCTGCACATCTTTTAGAGGGGCACAGAGACCACTAGCACGAGAACCAGATGAGGAGCACCTGAATGATGATATTACAGAAAGAAACTTTTCCATTGATTTCTCTTCTATATCAGAATAATTTGCTAAATGGGAAATGTTATATCGAAACTCCCCTCCTTCAGCCATTGTCTCCATAACTGTATCATCAAGGGTAGAAATTCTGTTACCTAAAGTAGAGAAACATATTAAATGTTGGAGGCATTACGGAATTGATAACAACAAGATAGAATAATTAAACAAAGGAGAAACAATTAAGAGAATCAAATTATAGTCGAATGCAACACATGAACAAATAAGAAAATTAATGGAATGTGTGTTATGAGGATCAACCATTCAATATCAAGGATGAAAGCTGGAAAGGGCTGCAATGAGTCTGCACCTTGCCAGAGGTTACAACAGCAACACAAACTTAGCCAAAGCATGACTTAGCTTAAAGTAATGTCCAATGATATTTGAACAAATTAAAGTAATATTGCTTTATAATGCAACTTAAGCTAATGAAACACCCAAAGCTCCACATAAGAAGATGAAGTTCACACTACCAATGTGTTTATATGTTATGTAAAGCACCCAAAACTCCAGATAAGAAATGCATCTACTAACAACAATAAACCAAATTAAAGGTTAGCTTTTTTTCCCCTTGAACTCACCACAATTTTTTTCTACTTTAAACCAAACTACCAAGCAAAGCCATAAATGTTCACTAAAGAACTGGTAACAACAATAAATAAAAAAAATGTAAAGGTCAGCTAATGATTTTGATCGTGAGTTGGAACTTCCCTACATGTTCAACTTTTTCGGCTGTAAAAAACTAAAAGCAAAAAGTGATCTCTTATTATAGTAGCAGAAAATGTGAAGACCAAATGGGGGGCATTTGGATGAGAAAGTTTAGTAAAGCTAATATTTTAGTGAATAAAATTCAGATTTGTGGTGCCTATATAAGCATCTTTGTTGCTGTTTTATTTTCTATTTTTGGGTAGAAATTGCTTGCTTGATGTTGAATATTTGTGCAAAAAAATCAGATTTGCATGTGTTGTGTTTGTGCCATGTTATGCCATTGCCGTGTTTATGGCTATTTCTTTTAGTGATTCTTCTGCATGTATTTCACACCAAATCCCCCCAACACAAATTTATAATTAAAAATCAGTGCATTCATAATATCTAAAAAGCAATAATACCATTAATGGATACAATAGCTTTGACAAAAGAAAAAAATAGTCAAGTAGCATGAACAATATCCTTCATAATGGAACAAAATAAAAATAAAAAATTAAAATTCCTTAACTGGATAATAACCAAAAAACTTAGAATTAGATATAGAGGAACAATCAATCTATAGCAGATTCAAAGAAATTGACCAAACTATTGCTATTTACAGTGATGCATCTAATGCTTGGCCACCCAAACTATTAATACTCACTTAGGGTTAAATTAAAATTTAAAGGTTTTAAAAATTAGGGGTTTTCAAAATTAGTTTTATGTACCTAAAAAATTTAGGGCTTACTAAAGAAATTACAAACAATCAAAATCTGAAATAATCCATATAGATACGATGATTTCACAATAATAAATCGTATTATTACCATCATGATAGTAGATGGTAATAGCAAGCCACAAAACCTTTCAAATTCCATACACTAATCAATAACAACCTAAAGAATAGAGAGATACAAGATTTTAAATTAATTAGCTATTAGTTAAAGCTCCAAAGTAAGTTTGACCATTGCAACCAAGTAAAACAAATATAAATAGAATATCAAAAAATTTCTCTTTGCAAGGTATTGGGGATGACAAAAATATAAAACAACTCTGACCTGCATTGAAAAATTAAACGTCATAAACTCCACAACAGGCCTAAGACCAAAATAAGCAGCGCCTACTCCAATGACTGCAAATCCATCCAGCAAAATAACCGTTTATACATGAGACAAAAGAATTATAGAAAAACAAAAAGCATATTCCCAAACAATCCCCAATCACGACTCCTTACCACTTCACCCATTAAAAAAACTCTAAGATCAACAGACATTTCTTCATCAAGAGTAGGGTTTAGAGCATCTCTCACAGACATCTTTTTAAGTAATTTTAGAATGTAACTATCAGTGTTTCTGTGAAAGAAAAGCAGCACAACTGAAAGCATGAATACATAAAGGAAAAAGAAAAAGGTTTTTAGATTACTTCTATAAATTGAATTAGTAACACTACAATACGAACTAACTCTCTATATGACCAGCTTTTGTTTTCCTTCTTGTTTTATTTTGGGTAAGACATTAAGTACCCCTTTTAGTATTTCATATTTAGCAAAGCATCTGAAGTGATCAATTCTATCTCTACCACTGTCATGCTTAGTGCTTAATCATTTGTGGCTCAAAAACAATTCCTCAAGTAGCAGCATAACAAAGTACATATAAAGCAATTTCCAAAACACCAACAAGTTGAAGCTTTAAAATGCTCCAAATTAAAGCCTACTTCACAAAAAGCAGAATCACCAACTACAACACCTTAACTTGTGATGGAATAAGCATAAATCACAGAACACAATAGAGACCCCTGAACCAATCACAGCTCTGTAATTTGGGTTTTTTTTTTTTTTGTAGACTTAAGAAGGTCAATTGTTTCTCACAATATGGCAATGAAATGGTGGGTATTCAAAGTGTGATAAACAAGTGAAAAAGGTCAAAAAACGAAAGACAAAACGTGAAACAAAGGAGCAAAAAGAGATCAGAGAGCACTCAGTTCACCTGAATCAGAGACAAGCAACCCGTTTCAATCATTAAATCTCAAATCTTTCTCTCTGAGAGACTAACCTGGTAAGAAAATACAATGATGAAGAGAGTCGAAGATGAAGAGGGAGCAAAACAGGGAATAAAGTGAATGGAGATAGTGGCTAGGGTTTCATTACTGATTAGGAGTATAGAGAGTGAGGAGATACAACGATGAAGGGAGCAACCAATCTAACTATAGGGGGTCGAATGAAGAGAGCAATTAGTAATGAATGAAGAGAGCAACGATGAAAAGGAAGCTCATCGATTTAGGAATTCACTTTTGATTTAGGTAATTTTGATACAAAATATGCCTTTTTCTTTCTGTGACAGCAATAAGTTAGTCACCAAAGGTTTTGACATTCCCTTTTTTTTATTTCTCTCTCCTGTCATTACTTTTCGCGATCATATCACATTTTTTAGTTGAAAAAATTACTAATTAGCCACCAAAAACTTGTTGGCCGCGAAAACACATCCTATTAGCGACCAAAAAAATATTAGTCGCAAAAAGTAAACTATTTGCAACCAACTCAAAAAAAGTGGTCGCTAAAAGTATTTTTTTTGTAATGAGTGGTTCACAAGTCAAAGTTAATTTTGAAATAAACCGTCTTATGAATTGCACTTTACCTAGAAACACATGTACCTCATTTTTTGTCCTTGGTGGTAGCATTTCTAAGATGGCCTTGATTTTGGAAGGATCTACTTCAATTTCTCTATGTGTGATCAAAAATCCCAACATTTTCCCTGTCGCCACCCCAAAGGTGCATTTCTGTGGGTTTAACCTTAATCTGTATTCCCTGATTCGTTGAAAAAAAATTTCTAATGCAGTATATTGATCTTCTCACTCTTTGGACTTGACAATCATATAGTCGACATACACCTCAACCTCTTTGTGGATCATGTCATGCAGAATAGTGGTCTCAGCTCTCTGATATGTGGCCCTGTCAACCTAAAAGGCATGACTTAGTAACGGTAGGTGCCCCACAGCGTAGTGAATGGAGCTTTCTCTTTGTCCTTGGGCACCATCAGAATCTGGTTATACCCGGAAAACCCGTCTATGAATGAAAGCAAGGCACGACCAGCAGTGAAATCTACTAACTCATCGATATGCGGCAATGGAAAGTCATCCTTCAGACTAGCCTTATTCAAATCTTTGAAGTCGACGCAGACTCTTATTCTGCCATCCTTCTTAGGTACCGGAACAATATTAGCCAATCACGTCGGATACTCAGATACAATCAAGAACCCTGCCTCGATTTGTTTGGTGATCTCTTCTTTGATCTTCAACGCCTAATCTAGGCGAACTCTGTGCAGTTTCTACTTGACTAGTCGGGCCTTAGTGTTAAGAGGGATCCAGTGCTATACGATCTCAAGATCGATTCCAGGCATGTCTTCGTAGGACCATGCGAAAACATCTTTGAAATCTTTTGACAAAGTGATTAAACGCTCGCGTTCCTCCGAAGACAACGTGGACCCGATTTGGACCAAGCATGGATCATTCTCAGTACCCACATTAATAGCAATGATTTCATTAATACAGGGCTTAGCACTCCTCTCCTCCTCTCGATTAATCAATTTTTTCAAAGCCAGAGGTATTTATTCCTCTTTGTTTTCATTAAAATTCTGAAAATCTTGGTGAATGCAATAAATTAGTGGCACAGAGCAGTACACAGAATCTGCACTGTTCTCATTCACGAATTTCAGTTCTTCTATTACAACAGACTCAAAAGCGAAAGAAAAAGAAGACCTCGACAGGACCTTGGCATCCGGGTTACCACCCCCAAGAATGTCAGACTCAAACTCCCCAGGCTGACTTGAATTTGATTCCGACTCGACAAACTCAATCGAATTAGGTTCTAACTCATCACCCAATTCAGAACTGGAAAAAAAAGCCTTTCTCTAGCTGCCAAGTAAGACATGGTGCCCTCGATGCATCCATAATACCACTGGTGGGATCCATACCTAGTTCTTCTCTGATCATAGAGACAGTAATGTTATCCCCCCAAGTTCTCTGTGTCGATTGCGGGATCTATCAAGAGATCAGCCAGTGTTGCCCCTATGTCAACCTCACAGTTGTCTGAGTCATCTTCTTTGCTCCAGCCAGTGTTGATGCTTGGTTCAACCCTTCCCTCATCACTGTCTTGCAACTGATGGTCAAACAAGATCTCGAACCCGGGGACACGCTTCTTCGAGGAATCCATCCAAGGCTTAGGAAAGCCACAAAAGGAAAAATATTGTCCTTCTCTAACAAACTACCCTTTTAATGTTCCCCATATTGGCCTGTGGACAAGCTCATAATGCTTCCCAACTCTCTTGGCCTTGGCTCTATCCCTCATTTCTTCTCCCTTTCTTATCCAGTTTTCTTTGGTGGGCAAGTAGCCTAGCGTAAAGGCATGCAGGTTGTATGGCACCTCTGCTAGCGCTACAACACCTTTCTGCCTGCTCTTTTTGAGCCCCATTCCCTAAATATGCCGCAGCTTGTTCATGAAGTAGATGGACTGGGCACTGATGTACATGCCTTCGTCCGCAGCCAGAATTGTCTACACTACTCAGGCTTCTGCCAGAGTGAATCTTGACAGGAATACATCCTCATCTCCTTGATTGATCTTTAGCACTAGCATAGTCACCTCTGGAGGTGGATGGATGGATGAGTTCCCAAAAATAGTTACTACTACTCTCTCGTGAGGATACTTCAACATTTGATGGAGAGTAGAGGAGACAACCTTTATGTGATGTAACCAAGCCCTCCCTAACAGTAGATCAAAGGTAGCTGGCACATCCACTACGTGGAACTCGATCTCTTGCTCGGATGGGCCCACGTAGACTCGCACTTTCACTGTCCCCATGACCTCTCTGCTTGTATTGTCATACACCTGAATCACTTAGGCTGTAGAGATGAAGTCTGCCGGTTTGAGGCCTATCGCATAGGCAGTGCGGGATGGACATATATTAATGGCAGAACTAGTGTCTACCAACACCACTGGCAGCAATTTCTCTCTACATTCCACAGATATGTATAACTGCTTGTTGTGAGCCGACCTTTTTGGCGATAGGTCTTTGTTAGAGAACGTGAGCATTGGCTTGTCTCCACTTGGAAAGACTAGGCCCACAAGTTGCTCGAGCATTGTATCAATGGACAATTTAGCTTTGTCCATTGCCGACAATATTGCCTGTCGGTGCACCCGGGAAGCCATGAGGAGTCCCTAGATAGAGATATCAGCTTAGATCTTCTTGAGCTGCTTCAAAACTAGTTCCTTTTTTAGTTGCTTCTCCTTCTGTTTTTCGACCTCTTGGTCCTTTGCTAATGGCTCTGCTTGATCCAGGTGTGGTGGTTTAAAATACCGTTCACTTCTAGTAAGATGGTTTGTCTCCGTAGAATACCATGTATTATCCAAGATGCAGTCTCCCCAATCTTCATCAGTATGGGCCAGATGCAGATCATTGTCGTCCCATCACTCGCCGTCAACCGTCGAAAAAGTTGTCCGGCTCCACTCAAATCATCTTTACAGTACAAGTGTCCCCCTCAGGGCGGCACGTTATTGTGGTTTTCTGGCTATTTTCAACTCTCTCTCTCTCTCTCAAACTGCCTCAACGCAGTTTTCTGTTTAGTATCTGTAGCTTTCACAACACCCACCCCTTAGGTTGGTTTTCCCGCACATGTGCCCTCTGGTAGTTTTCCTTTCTCATCAGCCTTCCCAACTACCACAGCTATCTCAGCTTTTTTTTCCTTAGATTTAATCCGAGCTTCCTCTTTCTTGTCTGACCCATCGCTTAGCCACCCGGCATTATCAGTTGACCCGTTCAGATTGAACCACCCAATCTGCATATCACCTTGGTCTTGTTCATCAAAGAACTGCAAGTTGTCCAGATCTTCTTCTAGGTTAACCAAATCGTCCAACCCCTGGTTCGGGCCATCTTCCCTGACTACATTAATACCTACCGAGGTGGGTAGCACTACTTCAGGCATGAGTTGAGTAGTGTGAACAATATAATGGCTCGGGTCCTACTCGCTTTCAAATGAGGCCCCGAGATATTCCGATAGCAAACTAGTACCTCCCTCCGAGGTCAACATCTCTTCTACCGTAGGTGTTGTCACCACTGCTCTGTGAGGCTCAGGTTATATTAGATGTGTCCATCATGCACAAGTCTGTGCCCTCAGGAAGGAACTGCATCAGTTTTGGTAGGTGAGATATGGTAATATATACGTTGGGGTCGTAGGAGTTGGACAGTGTATGGATAAGGTGAAGGTTTCGATATGGGCGGACTTGATTATGAGCAGGAAGCAGGTTGGTGGTTACATTTGGTTTTTGTGGTGGAGTGATGACCGTGTTGTCAATGAGATCTTGAATCTCATGATGCAAGTGGAAGCATCGGTCGGTTTCATAACTGTGCTACTAGTGGAATGCACAGTATTTTGTGGGGCCATGGTTGGACGGAAGAGGGTCCGGAAGTGGGTGAGGTTCTAAGGGTTTTAGGTGCCCTTTCTTGATCAACACCTGCATAGCTTTGGATAGGGTCATGTATAGTGGGTGATAAATTCTACCCGAAGGTCGGGTAGGGTTGGATGGTGAGGGTCGACAGTTTTAGTTGTGGTGAAAACACTTATTTCAAATGGCCTCGCAATTGTGCTATAGCTGGCAGTATTGGAACTACGAACAAACGACCTCTTAGCTGGCTCCTTATCACTAGTAATATTCTCCTATTTCATGGCATCTTCAATTTGCACCCCCATTTCATGAAGCTCTTTGAAGGTAAATAAGGGGAGAACAATCATTTTCTACAGCAACTTGCTATGCAGGTTCCAGACAACCATTATGATCTGGTCCTTTTCTGAAGGTCGAGTGGTCATCATGGACGCTTTGGCCCTCCATCTTGTCACAAACTCGGAGAAGCCTTCCTTGGGCTCTTGACGCGTTAGCTTAAGATCTCGAGTTATGACATCGATTTGCGTATTGTAAGAGTACTAAGCAATAAAGGAGTCGACTAATTCCTCCCAGTTCTGCTTTGTAGAATCTTTCAACTTGGCGTACTAGATGGCTACTATACCTGATATAGTGTGAAAAAAGAGAGATAGCTTTTTCAATCTAGTCAAATCCATCGGTCGCAAGATATCTAAAAACAACCGTAAGTGAACCATCGAGTCCTCGAAACCATCAAAGCGGTCAATGTGTGGCATCTTAAATCGCTCCGGTAAGGTAACCGTAGATTCGGTGTGCCCATCCTCTATGTCAAGAATAGAGTTAACCCCTTACGGTTTTTTGAACAACTTCTCTAGTTTGTTGATTTTGAATGCGGTCGGGTCAACCTCAAATTCGAATGGTGCCTCGGTCTGATAGACCGGGGCTCTGAAAACTTTTG